CGTTAAGAAACAAAGGAGCAATGCAATTTTCTCCTCGTACCAGGTGACACGGCGGAATAATGCATTTGCCACCTCATATAAGTTGAATTAACTTCGCTAGAACTTTCTTGGGACTTAAATCAGTTCGCATTCAGTATTTAACAAGGAAAACCTATTTAACATGACAACAGGTGTGCCGAATAATTGATAAAAACTTCTTTAATAAATTCATTAATGCTTGACGGCTTTAGAAAATTATTGCTGTCTTATTTTAGACGAATCAGAACTAAATTGAATTACTTTGTATATCTATATAGTAAATTTGTTATTATTATCTGTATAAATAAACAAGGAATGTCGAAAGTTCAAAGGTACAGCGTTATATTCTCAAAGGAATATTTTAGTAAATATAAAACTTAAGACCATCGAGAGAAAACATTGTTGGTGAATGTTTGTTTTCGCAGTACATTCATAAAATAAAATAAACTCCAATGCATGAATTACGGAGAACGACAACTATACATAGATTTCAGAAACATTTATACTACCTTTTATTCAACTTCAATACATATGTATGTATAACTCGAATATAACTCTATCTTTAATGAATAACTATAAAAAGATTAAAAAATATTTTACTTATATTATATAATGTGTGTTTTTACGTATGTATTTAATTTGAAGCCTGTTAACTATACTACCAAGTTCTATATCTCGTATTATGAACCAAAAAGTTTACTCTAAACTGCAAATAGGGGTAACTTTAGGACAAATTTGTATAAAATTATACATAGATAACTCAAAAACGTACAGACAAATTTACTTCAAGCATGATTTGGTCACATCTGTGCACATGAAACAGTATAACTATTAGGATACTGTTAACAATTTTGTTTTTATATATTCATAAGAACTTAAATCACACAGCACGTAACTTTATTTCTTATTGAAGCTGGATTTAAGTGTGTCAAGTGTCCCTTCAAAGAAAGATAACCATTCCTTTATAAGAATTCTAGTATATTACAATAGCATTTTAAACACGAAGCTGTAGTCACGTTTCGTTATAATTTAAAACATGATATAAAAACAGACGCAACTTTCTTTTTTATTGTTCAATCTGTTGGTAGTATTTCTTTTACAATATGCTTATATATTTTAGTTTAAAGATATTTGAATAAAACTTTAATGAATACCTAGTTTCTCTAACTGGATTAAACCAGTTTGATCTGATTAATTTTTAAATTATTATTTATCATATTTAAATTGACGAATAGGCAGTCATACTCGTAGTTGACTATCTTGGCCCATAGAGATCTGCAGAAATGAATTTTTGGGTATCGACCTATAGTAGAAAGCAACTTTTTAATAAGAGAAAAAAAGACGTATGATTCCTGACAATCTTCTAATATCCAACAAAACAGAGCTGTAATAGAGTCTCCAAGGCAATTTTAAACAAACATCTAACCAGTTCAAGTCACTCGATATACAAACTGCAGTAAGATTTGGATGAAGACATTTTTTTAAATATTATACTACTTATAATAATAACATTTACATAGGCTTTCATTTAATACATCAATGAATATGTGGATATTATTGCAATCACTAAAGAATCATACATTTACCGTACAACGAATTCTGAAAAATGGAATCCTTTTATTACACGTAGGTACATATATATTTGTTTACACTGAACGCATCGTTCTTAAATTTATCTACAACATAATGTGAAAACGAGCAATGAACTGTGTATTTCATTTCTGCTCATTAAGCTGGATATTTGCGGACCGAATTCAGTTTTCACAAGTGAAACTTTTATTAACCATGAATACACGTCAGAAGTTCAGCAACACGTGTTGCGGATCGCCCTCACCTCAGGAAACTTTTAACATAAATACAATTTGCAAGAGTTATAACACGGTACAGGTAACATGGTATGATATAATGCTCAAATAAACTAGTTGGTTTTTGCGGTTCCGCTTGTGTAAAATTCATATTTTATTCACTAGATAAACGCACTTTCTTATTAGATAGAGTCCATCCTTTATCCATAATCTACTTCTGGTGATACTTTTCTAAAATATTAGGTCACCGTAAGACAATCAAAGATTTTCGCGAGTACTCATTTAAATGAAACTAATATTTTCGGATTTACTACGCGATTTTTTATTTGTGACAATAAACTACATACTCCCGACGTTTAGGTTACTTTAAAGTATCAATAGTAAGTAATCAAAGTACTTTTTGTCAGCAAGATTAATAAAGATGTTAAAAGGTAGAGATTATATGATAAAGTCTTCATTCCAAAAAAAATGTATAAACTACAAAAGGTTGAACAGATTTCTTTGAAAATGTAAATTACATTTTCAATATTAATTTTCTTCTATAAAAAATATTAATTAAAGTACAGATCACTTTAAAATGAATGTTATATTTTATTCATTTACCACTAAGCCAACTAATAATTTTAATGTGAGTATTAAATATTCCGATGATCGTTTTTTTTTTCACGCAAAATCAACAAAGCTGGTTTAATATAGCTATGTTAATATAGCTTTGATATTAAATTATCAAAGAATATAAATTAAAAGCGTTAGAGCTCATATATCATGGTGGCCTAGTGGTTAAAGGTCCGCCTCTCATGCATGAGGGCGCCGGTTCTAAACCAGGCAGGTACCAATGTGATTTTTCCGAGTCATATGTACTTTTTAAGACTATTTAGACATCACTGACAGACGGTGAAGGAAAACCTCGTAATGAAACCTGGACTTATAATTTCACAATTATAAGTTTGAAATCACCAACGTGGTGATTAATGCTCAAATCTTCTCCATGTGAGAAGAGGCCTTTGCTCGGCAATGGGCTCTGATAGGCTGACGATGATGAGAGGGCTCATGGATTTGGCCTAATTTTATATATTATTGTAAATCTAGGAACAAACTTTACCATTTCTTATAATTATAATAACTTGCCTTGTTATTGATACATACAAATATAGAAAAGTTGTGAATTTTTACATTGTTCTCATGTTGTATAATTATACCATTCCACTTCATTGAAGGCAAGGCCACGGTTAAAAGAGATACAATACAAAACAATTTAATTAAAGAAAACGAAATGATATTTTTATTTGTTACATTGGTATTACATATTTAAAAATGTATTTAAGTTTTTCTAATATACATTTTTAAGAAAAGCTCTTATTAAACTACGAAGGACGAAGAATTTCAAAGACATGGCGATGATAGTGTTAAGATGCAACAACAAAAAATCACGTTTGAAAGGAAGTATGAAAGAATAATATCATCATATTTTTTATACTTTAGCTTTATATTTAACTGCAGTTGTAATCAAAATTGATAATGCTCAAAGTTAAATCTCATTATTTTTTATTAAATTTCGTCCTAAATCCAAACAGTCTCTGGGGTGCCATCATAGCTACGGGTCAATGTGCGGGTAGCTAATTACCATTAAGAGTTTTATGTAGTAAATAAGAATTAATCTATTTTAAAATTATTATGCCATATTGGTTAGTTTATCAAAGACGAATATGTCATTATTTGAGTATTTTAATTGAGAGGTGCTTAAAGAATCTTCTCTTTAGACTGAATTGATAGAAAAAGCAAACTATACGTAAAATTTCCTGAAAATAAAAGTCTACATATAGATAAAATAGTTAATATATGTATAGTTTACTAACACCACAAGAGTTACGATTTGACGAATTTGCAGAAGTAAAAAACCCTAAACATTTACTTTAGTAATGGTACACAACATTCATATTTTAAAGCTATATAGAATAAAAGTCGTCTAAATGTAAGCAAGTCTCCAAGGGACCTCATTATGTACTAGAGACAATAAGCCCTCCGGTTATATTCAAGTTTGGAGTCCCAACCTTGATCATTTGCACAAGAGGTTAAAGATAAATAGAACAAATCTAATATTAACTTCGATGTCAACTCTTAAACATTATCAAACCTTTTTGTGCACACCCTACTATACTATAGTATGAAATAATGTATGTACTCACATTGATATAAGCGTAATAACGTGGTAACGAAATTAGTTTTAGATTACCTGCACCGCATTAATTAGTATTAAGGTCACTGACATTAGGGAGCCGGTGCTTAATCACGCCGGCGGTTATCACTCACGTGCGACGACCGACGATTGACGACCGGCTAACAGCCAGGACCCTTGTCATATAACTTCAAATAAAACTATGTGATTGAACGAGCTATATGAGATAACATTAACATATAAATCACAGTACTTTACTATCAGACATCGATATAATTCACGTGACATTTATAAATACAGAACAAGTTGCAGCTAATGCTGTAATAAATTAAGATGGGCCTATAAACGGCGAGTATAGATACATCTAGCCGAAGCAAATATAAAAGTTGAAGTAAACATGCACGGGGCAGCTTATCACGTAAGTAAATTAAACTGAATACCCCACATACGTCACGGCTGTCATGACTTCCCCTATAAGTGGCGCCGAGTCTTCCCCCACGGCGCCGGGAATCTGCCCCTTATTTTGATATTCGCATCTTGCGTAAAGCCCACCCGTTTAATGGAAATTTATGTTTGAATATTAAACGAACGCGTTTTTAATTAACCGCCATATGTTTGACATCAGGTAGAATTTATAAAATATAATAAAACTTCTACCAATACTATTTTAATACACAGTCACTATACTATACAATTATTTTTATATATAAAATCTATAATAAGTGTAATTAAACTGATCTATTTTGAGTATGAAGCCTTTATCTGATATTTGATGAAACCTACGTATTATAAATTTATTATAACTGGCACGTTAAATTCCAGATCTTTAAATAGAGAATAATCGTAAAAAATTTCGATGTCATAAATTTTACTTTTGTCAATTTGTATATTACTTTCATTTATATTTATATAATATATTTATTTACATTTACAGTATGATATATTTATAAAAAATAAACATATATTTATAAATATTTACTTAATTATATTATTTTATTAATATGGCTTTATTTCGTACAATTCAGAAACTAACTGTTCCAGTGCGCACATCGAATTCGACTGTAATTAAAATAATTTTAATTTTATATTTGTTTGATATAATATAAAAAAAGAATATATATTTTTCAGAATTTAATGCTATTAGGGAGACTCGTGTCATCCAAAGCGGAAACCTTTTTAAGCGGCACCAATGCGAATTATTTAGAAGCTCAATATTTAAACTGGTCGAAATCTCGTGGATCAGTTGACCCTGTGAGTAAATTGTGAAAGTATAAACCTATAGAATAAATCTATGATTAAAAATGTAATATTCAACAGTCATGGGACGGATTCTACGAGAGCGTCAGTGGACCAACTTTAAAAATAGAAGAATTTGAAGACGAATTCAGTCCGAAGACCGTCAGTCAAAGTAATACATCAATTTAAACATCTTTATATTTTATCACGTTATTACTCTTAAGATACATAGCTAAATCTTTTCAGATAAATCGTCGCAATCTGAAAAAGATGACAAGGAAGCGAAAGAACGAATCAAACTTCATCTGGCAGTACAGAATCTCATCCGAAGTTATCAGGTTTTATTAGAATATCGTAAAGATTATAGCTTAAGATACGTGCTTTGAAGGATTAAAATTGAAATTGGATTAAACGGAATTAGTTTACATAAAGTGTTCAGTATTATACTTTAAACGCGGAAATGTCATAGAAATATCTATGAGCATTTTTGTATGATTTTCATAAAATATGTTTGTAATCTGAATGATTTATCTTCTAAATACTTGGCCTAGGCTCGCGGTCACCTTTTGGCGAAAACAGATCCCTTAAACCTGTCTATAGCAGCGGGATGGTTACTCAAAAACCAAAAGCCCGCAATGGAAATGAAAGGAGTTGACAGTGTTGTAGTGGCGAGAGAAATTGGCACTATATTGTGTAAGTTAATTTGTATATCAATTCTTGCAGAAAGGCCTCATTGACCTTTCTAAGAGAACTCTCTTATCATAGATAAAATTAAACTTCAGACTCTAAAAATTGCGAAATATCTTTAAAGTTCCAGCATTATATTTAAACAAATGAATTTGATTTAATATTACAATCATTTAATAAAATTTGTTTGTAGTATGATTACTTTATAAATAGTGTAGAAGTATGTATCATTTAATTGTTAACTTTGATTCGACACTTTAATTAAATAAGTTGTCTTCAAAAAAAAATATAAAGAAACCCAACCTAAGATAATAATTTTATATTATGAACACAGAGTAACTTTTCCATTATTTTATAGCGGTACCAAGTTGTAAGTTAAGTATTAAAATATTACAGGCGAGGAGCATATGGATACTGTTTTTGAACTACCTGAGAGAACTTGTATCGGAGGCAAGGAAACAGCTTTGACTCTTAGGTATTATATAAAAGATTTTAATAAGAATTTAAAGTATATTAAAAATGATTTGAAGAAGGATTTTGACTCACTAGGTTTGGAGAAAATACTGACGTGACTTTCCTTTCGTCAAACTTGAAAATATATTGAGAAGCATTTTTTATTCATCTTTTGTATATGGACTAATTACTGAACAGCGATTATACTTTCATAATAAATAATAATAATTCATTTTTTTGTTTTTTTTATTAAATGATGTTTTCGTGTAGGGAAATCATAAGACGCTTGGAGATGGTGTATTGCGGTCCTATAGGTGTGGAGTATATGCATCTATTCGACATGGACTGTCTTCAGTTTATGAGGGAAAAGATGGAAACGCCAGGATGTTTAGAGAGAACTATTGAAGAGAAGAAACTCATCATGAGACGTTTATCCAAAGCGGTCTAGTATGTCACATTTGCCTTACTCGTTTATTTAAAATTGTCCATTTATTACTGTTGCAAAAGCGTTCAAGAAATTACAGTTTAATCAGACGATGACTTGATATTTTTTATACATCTCGAAATATAGTAATAGCTTAATCAACTAGAATATGATATGTATTAGAACACAAATTTATATGAAGTAAATAATTTTTAAGCTTAGAAAAGTACTTCGCAACGAAATGGCCAGCCGAGAAGCGTTTTGGTCTGGAAGGTGGGGAAAGTATGATCGTGATGCTGGAGGAGATTGTGGACAGCAGCACTCAACTAGGAGTTGAGTCTATAGTGATGGCCATGCAGCATAGAGGTATATAACAGTTGGTCTAGTATACCAAAATGCAAACTTATCTTTACGAAGTTTTAAATCTTCGATATTATAAACACTAGTTTCAAAATAAGGTTTGATAATAGTAAAGTAGACGTTTATATTATTGATGATATTATTTTCGTTCGTTCCAAATCGTTTTTATACTGCTTCACGGATTTATATTATTAAACTCGAAATTAATTGAAAAGATTATAGTTTTGTTAATTAATTTCATAATAGTAATATTGTTCCAGGTCGCTTAAATATGTTAGTTAATGTGTGTCGGAAACAGCTGACTGATATTTTTGCTCAATTCAAACCAATGGAACCTAAAGAGCCGGTAAAAAATATACTATGTTTAACTAAAGACCTCGTTTTTTATACCCTTATAAATTGAATAATGTCTTATCTCTACGAAATTATCGTTAATTATTAGGGGTCAGGAGACATAAAGTATCATCTGGGTACATTCATCCACCGCTTCATCAGGAAGACGAATAAATATTTGAAGGTGTCAATGAGCTGTAATCCATCTCATTTGGAGGTCGTGTCACCGGTTGTAGTCGGAAAGGCTCGTGCTGAACAACATTGGAAGGGGGACAATCAAGGCGATAAGGTTGGCAACTTTTTTTCGTAAAATTCATAGTTTAGGTAAAAATTATAACTGTACTAGACAACGCTATGTATAATTTGAACTAGATGTATAATACCTTCTATCGTTTGAGATTATGACGTCAAAACGAAATTTCCACCAGGGTATTAGATATTCATAATATTATTTTTCGTGAAATATTAATATAAAACTTAGTGTTGCACATATTAATGCAGAATAAAGTAAAAGTATAGCAAAACTTGGCTGTATTTCGTTTAATATATTTTGCTACTAAATCTCCATTTTCTGTTTAAATTTCTTATAATGAAGCAGACTTAAACTCCGCAACGTCATAGAAACGAAGATTTTTGCTTAACATTCTTAGTTTTTCTATGAACCTAAAGCTTTACCTATCAAAAACATTTACTTCAAAATTAATATAAATATATACTTTAAAATACTTTTGCCTTGTAAATATACATTTAAATGGTTTGTATGTAACATGTACATATGTATGTATGAACATATGAAAAGAAACGGTCACAAACAAGAAGTATGAAACAAAATTTTTATTAGAAACTAAAAAATATTCTGTTATTCCTTTTTGTTGTTATATACATTTTTTTTTTCTTTCACCATTTTTTTATTGTATCTAGTAAGTGCCTATAGCTATAGCCTTTAAGTGATGACACGCAACTGTAAAATTAAGTTCCATGATGTTATATTATGTAGTTACAAGTTTTTGTGTATCACGACGTTGGCTTCCTATTAAATAAAATAAAATAAAAATAAAATATATGAAAAACCTATCAAAATAAAACTCCCAGTTGAGTTGTATAATAAGTATATGGGCAGGTGATGGCGATCATAATGCACGGTGACGCGGCCTTCTCCGGCCAGGGTGTAGTGTATGAGACCCTTCAACTCGGCAACCTACCCAACTTCACCACTCACGGCTCCATACACATAGTGTGCAATAATCAGATCGGTTACACTACGGACCCGAGGTTCGCTAGGAGTTCGCCTTATTGCTCCGGTAATAACATTGAAACCATTACAATAATTACTTCAATGTAATTAGCTAATAGTTTTATTTGAATATTGATTAATTTTTTTATCCCCTCTTTAAATGTATATATTTGTCTCACTTTGCCTGGTCTTGGCAAGATAAAACTGTTGTAGTGATTATGAATTACTGAAGATTTAGTTTCTCAATAACTATTTTTATCATAGTTGGTAAATCATTTTACAATTGTGAATAAAAAAAACATGAAGAGAAGCAAAGCGAAAAAAATAACAGTGAATTCTTTAAAAAAATAATATTATTGTATTAGATGTAGCGAAATGTATGGACGCGCCGGTGTTACATGTGAACGGTGATGACGCGGAGGCTGTGGCTCACGTGGCGAAGGTGGCCATAGAGTTCAGATGCAAATTCAAGAAGGATGTAGTCTTGGACCTGGTCTGCTATAGAAGGTTCGGACACAGCGAGGAAGACGAACCGATGTTCACGCAACCATTTATGTACAAGAAGATACGAAGTATGGAGACTGGTAAGATTATTAACACACGACCTACATCAAAAGGCATATGTTAGTTTGCTGATTCATTAATTTTGTACAGTTGATAAGATTTATGCGAAAAAAATACTGGCAGAGGGCTTCGTAACGCAAGCGGATATCAATAAATGGGAAAAGGAATACAACGACACTTTGAACAAACATTTCGAACTGGCGAAGAAGGTTACCAAACTGAGCATAATGGATTGGATCGACACGCCATGGACCGGGTTCTTCGAATCCTGTGACCCGAAAAAGGTTTTGTAGTGATATCAACAATAAAGTTTGAGCTTTCCGTTTGGAACCAGATTTCAATTTGACTTATATACATATGTATATACTATATATATTGTCACCAGGTAAAAGAGACTGGAATTTGCGAAACATCGATATCAACAATAGCACAACACTTTTGTAAAGCACCGGAACCTTGGGCTTTCGAAGTTCATAAAGGCATCCACAAGATTTTGGAAAAGAGGGCGAAGATGGTTAATACTTTTAATTAATTAATTATGTTTAGCATTTATTTTTTACACAAAATAATATAACCAACTGTACCATTCTAATAAATATTTTCAATATATACAGGTAAAAGATGGAATTGCAGATTGGGCGATGGGAGAAGCTCTCGCCTACGGTTCGTTATTAAGAGATAAAGTACACATAAGACTCACTGGGGAAGACGTAGAAAGAGGGACTATGGCACATAGGTAATATATACACACATTATATATTGAATAATTACCAATAGGCAGCTAGAAATAAGTAAATATACATGTCTTTGGCTTCGAAAAACTTACGAAATCGCTAAAAGTTTGCAAAACGAAGCATTGTGTTAAAAGAAATAGCTATAAAACGATCAATAAGGCCATTAAAGGCTGGTGAAAACAGTTTTATAACGATGGTCGGAGACCAAAGGAATTGCAAAAAGGAACAAAAGCCCGAACAAAGATCTGCAACAAAGTGGCGCATTTTTATTCTTCTCGCTAAATTGATCATTTCACCGCAGCCCGGACTAATCGACCGGGGACCGACTTCCCGTGTATCGGACGACTAACCCTCATTCACAATTTAACCCACAATAGCTTAACTGTTCTATGTTTTACCGAAAAGGCTTCAATTTCCGCTGCAGGACAATTCAGCTTTTATTTTTACATTTCTTTCTTGATTAGTTTCAGCTAGACCGATATACGCTTGCGACCTAACAACGCGATTTGATTGTTGTTGGGCTTCGATAAATATTAAAACAAACTACCGATTCCATTTGCATTTAATATGGTATATAAAAAATAAATGAAGCTGATACAATTGTGTATTTAATAAATATAATGTTTACTTTAAACAGACATCATGTGTACCATCACCAAGGTGTAGACGGGGCGACGCACCGAGTATTGGATACTTTGTACGCTGATCAATCACTGTACAGCCTTCACAACAGCTCGTTATGCGAATTTGGTGACTATTTAATAACATATAAAGTAAAATATTACATTTATATTAAATAGATATAAGATGCACGAATGTACGTATTCTATGCATCGAAATATCGTCTTAGTTTATTTTTATACGTTCCAATGCTTACATTCACGTGCAGGTATTTTAAATTAAACACGACGATAGAAGTCACATTACACGTTAGAATTCCGCGTCTGTCCTGTTCACCGAGTATTTATTTATCAAGATAGCATTAGCCTCCTACTCGTGTTGGATGGACGTTATATATTAGTAGCAAAACTTATTAAGGCCTGGTTACCAATGTAATTATGGTTGAATTGACTTGCAAGATACAATTACGAGCACTTAAGTGTGCATCCTCATTTGCATTACATTGCAGCAGCGCTAAGGTTGAGGTTACACTAATTTATCGGGATATTAAATTTGTATTTGAATTATGTTAATTAAATAATTTCCAGTGCAGGTATTAATGAATAGATATTAATGCAATATTTTGTCTAGATTATAACAGATCCTATCTCTAGGTATCTTGGGTTTCGAGGTCGGTTACTCCTATTCCAGTCCGAATCTACTTACTATATGGGAGGCCCAGTATGGTGATTTCGCGGACACAGCTCAGCCGGTTTTCGACACCTTCATTGTGAACGGAGAAAGCAAGTGGGTCTGTCAGTCGGGCCTTGTGGTGCAACTACCACACGGCATTGACGGAGCGGTAAATATCTTATCAGATACAGAGACTATAAGTAAATTTAACTTGGAATTTTCTGAAATAACCTAAGCAATAGCTCTAGTGACTGAGAAAGATTATATTATTTTAACCTAGAATACGAGAAGTTTCTTGAAATATCAAAAAATATTATATATACCAAGTCCATTTATATATATTTAATATAAAAACAATCCAGTTTCTTAACAAAAATATTATCCAATAAGAACTAATATTATAAAGACGCCGTTTATTCTATGCTATTGTTTCACAAGGGACCTGAGCATTCTTCAGCGAGGCCGGAAAGATATTTGCAGCAAGCTGATGATGATGAAGATGTTATACCGGATCTCGATGACAAGAATATGCCTCGTGAGTTCTAAACCTGAGACCATAAACACTTGACTGTTTAAAATGCATTTCATATATACCGAACTATTATTTTATATATGTAGCACGGCTAGTAAAAACAACTAGGTTGTAAGTTCTTATACATATATATTGAAGCATTGATAGATTTATCAGAGAAAGATAGTGAAACTCTTAGTCAGATCATATGTTTTATGTTTTTGGTTCATTCTATGTGACTATAACCATCCAAATAGCAACTATCGGTTCTCTCAAGTATTTACATACGTCGACAGTGAACCAACTCCGTGCCGCAAACTGGATTGTTTGCAACGTGACTACACCAGCCAACTATTTCCATTTGATACGAAGACAAATCGCATTGCCCTTCCGCAAGCCCCTCATACTCATGACTCCTAAAGTTGGCCTCAAACATCCTTACTACACTTCACCATTTAAAGATTTCGTGCTTGGAACTCAGTTTCAGAGGTACGTATGCAATTCAAAGGAATTTATATATTTTACAACCGAATTATAATGAATCCATCCGCTAGGGTAATAAGAGAAACCGGTCCTGCCAGTAAGAACCCCAAAGATGTAAAAAAGCTAATATTCTGCTCCGGCAAAGTCGCCATTATAATTGATGAATTGCGGAAAGAGAAGAAGCTACAGGACAAGATTGCATTATGTCGCATCGAACAACTATTCCCGTTCCCATACGACCTAATACTTAAAGAGTTCTGCTTTTACCCCAGCGCTAAAGTAGCATTTTGTCAAGAAGAACATAAAAATCAGGGACCGTGGACATTCGTCAGGAATAGACTTGAAAACCTCTTTGGGAAAAAAGTGGAGTAAGTACAGAATAATAAATTAAGCTACAATAATTTATAGGTAATAGTTTTAAGCAAGAATAGTAATACAAAATTCTTGTACCCTAGGTGTATTTCAAGACCGCCCAGTGCTGCGTCAGCCACGGGTATTAAATGGATACACGCAAAAGAGCTTAAAGAATTGAAAGAAAAAATTATCGCACTGTGAATGTTATGTGAGGTTCGCTATTAAAAGAATTCAAATAAAGTTTTATTTATAACATACACTTTCCTTTTGGGCGCACGCTTCTAACAACACTTTATATATAAAGGGGATTAAAAATATATGGAAATTTTACTTTATAGCAGCAAAAAGACGGTGTCACATTCTTATTTATAGCGCACTTCTGAAACTCGTTTTATTAGCTTTGTTAGTGGAAACTCTTTTGTTTACTGGAAATCAAACTAAACGCCGAGATTGCATTAATCCACGTCGCTGTGTGCTGTTCGAGTGCACGAGAACATTATACCAGCAGACTTAATATAGAACACGCTGCAAACTAAATTAATTTTTAGTTTCATTGCATTGTACATCGTGTTTATTAAAATATAAAAGCATTCTCTTATGAGAGCATTATTTTGGCAAAATTAACGTGTCTTTACTAATGCAAAATATTTTAAATATAAGCATGTAGTATTCTTAATGTAAAATGAGCAGTATCTTTTGTGGCACTTTTTCTTTTACCTTGTTTAGTGTGATGACACAGTGGTCGATCCCCTTTATTGCGTAGGCTTTTTCCTTGATTAACTCCTTTATGGTAAGTTTTTGGAAGGTGAACGATAGCGAAGAATGAAATCGAAAGATATATGCTCAATAAATCGTCTTTGTACGTATAGATTTTTATTTGAAAAAGATAAACTTGTAAGATTGTAAATATATATTATATATTGAAACTCGTTGCAACTACCACAGACATCGCACATGCAATAGACAAATACATTTATAAAAAAGTATAACTTATTGAAATGTATAATTTTTTGTTTTATTTATACATATGCTGCCTGGATAGTGAACTCCTATAACAGTTAACAAGTCTCGAATAGGTTCTTTCACTAATAGAACTGGTAACCTTCCGCCAGTCTACAAAGATACAATATAACCAATCAAGCAAGACCCTTATTATGGCCTGACCCTCGTCCATTTAAGCTCTTCAACGAATAAGACGAGAGAAACGTAAAAGATTGTGAGAGACAATAAAATCGACTAAAGTGCTCTGGAAACAGAATAACGCTAAGTATATTACAGAAAGCCTGTTTTTTATCAATTGTATTATTTAACTCTGAGCTGACAAGCCAATGACAAATATATTACAAAGTCACGAAATACGCGGATGTATATTTATAAGAAGAGCAAGCTTCAGTTGTACTGATAACACTAGGCTTTTTTAAGATGCATTTTTATTTTATAATATGTATAAACCTATTTGAGATTTAAAACGGATGATTTGAGATAAAAATATTTAAAAATGCTCATTAAACGGATATCGGCTTCATTATCTAAACGTCTATAGAGTTGCGATTACGTTTGGAACTAATAATAGAGTAAAAATAGCTGTAGGCCACAAAAGCGAGTTCAGGCACTATAAAAAATTAAATGTACCAATTAATAACCAGTCTTCACTTTCCCTTATCTTAAGAAAAAATCAAAAAATTACAAGGCGTAATAATCTTATTGTTAGGTGTAATACTAACGAATAATTCGAAAGTATATTTTTCCATGGACAGAGCTGAAAAACCTTCAACGTGCGAAAAAACCAAATTAGGAAAGCACTAAAAGCTTATGTGAGTATAACGATGATCAAAAACGATTATTTTTAGGACGCAAATTCATTTGAGTGAACCACTTTCATTCTTTTGGTTAATTAGAAATTTTTAAAACTGTAATTTGAGATATTAAATTGTAAAGAATTTTATTGCATTGAAATTACACAAATGTAATGACATTTATAGAAATTGAAGAAGATAAACACAATTATGAAAGTTTTAGCAAAATATGTCTTTCATTAAATGTTTTAATTTAACTCTTCTGAATATTAAACATTATATCAGCTATATAATACAAAGTTTTTTATCATAATACTTTTATATGTCAAACATCCAATAGCTATGTATTAAAAAGGGAGCATACAGCACCTTCTGCTTTAAGTCTGTAAAATTAAAATTGCTCTGCAATAAAGTCTGTGGAGGTTACGAAGCCGTTTTACTGCCGTCAAGACGTGAGAAGTGTGTCTCACTTTTACAATATTCACGAGCCTTTGTGAGAACACAGGCTTTTGAAGGAACATCTAATATTCCTATCTAAAACATCAAGTGCGTAAACGAAACGCTGTACTTTGTAATGAAAACACATTGGAAGGAAAGACTAAAGATTTGGTATTTATTTAAATTTATGTTATATATATAAAATCTAGTCATGCTTCAGTTTTATCAAATGTCTAGTAGCAAGGATAAGTTTTATATAAATATATTTATATGAGATCCTCTCTCCATATCTGACCATCACATAAACGCCATTCTTCCGATAAATCACGGTCGACTTCCTAGCGACCCTGATACCTCGAAATGCTCGGCGACCTCGAAATGAGGGTCTCCTAAGGGACAGATGCCGAGACAAAATAAGATACAACTTGACCTCTCAGTTTCCTAAATTATCCAAGGGACATCTTAAGATCATACGTGTTGAATGAACCAATTAAAAGGTTATGATGGAAATAAACTGAGGCAATATTAACGTTCTTACTAAATAATTGACTTTCAAACACTATTTATAAATATATCTCTTTTGTAACAAAAGAAGAACTATTAAAATTAAGTCTCATATCAAGGTTTATTCTTTAGTAATCATAAAAATATTGGATATTGTTTTATATACTCAATGGCTTCAATATTATCATTACAATAAATCCACTGACCTTCTTCAGCTCATCGGTTCTATAGGTATCCTTTCATTTAACAGTAATGTTCGCATGATTCTTGAAACGCGTGATTTAACATAATAAATGCAGTGTTGTTTATATTGGAGATGTTTTTTAATTAAAGTATCACTGTGAATATCGTGTCCAGTGTGCGGTGAAAGTCTTTACGAACGTAAGAACAAATGTTGGTACGTAAAACAGATTTCGTTTTCTATATCGTCATTCATTTTCACCATTGCTAACTGCTAGATAAATCTACAAGTATATAAAAATGAAAATAAGTATATAATATATATGTAGTGTATAAATAATAATGAAAAAATATTACAAATTTTTTATTATTGATGTTTGAACAAATGTTGATTGTATTACCATTGACATTTCGTATAGCTATATGATTATATAACGCCCTATACATAGTTATAATGTGACTCGCTAATTATAATTTCTAACTAAAGTATTATAATGATATGCTTATTTATACAAATATTTAGATTTCTGTAAAATTCTTTTAATCGATCTATTAAAGACGTCTTCTATTACCTTATTTAAATTTTAACCATATTTGATCAAATTTAATTTTAAATAATGTAAGTTCTAAGGCGATTATTAAAGCAAAAATCCTCTCTTACAAAAAGAGGAGTTTCGTATTAATTTTCGATTCACAAGATTGAACGTATTCATTTCTGAAGCTCTAATCCATTATAAACGGGATGCCGTCAAAACAATTTGCTAACATTTATAGTACATGTAATCCTTCAACAAAACCTAGTCCTATTCACTGTTCTCGTCGACTCAAAAGCTGAGATTAATGTTTCATGAGCTGCCAGTCACTCAGTGGGTCACCTACAATATTTATAACTTACAAACTTTTATTCTTGGACATTATTGAAGGCGGAGTAAACAATAGGTAAAAGACCTTTGCGGTGTATGTGATATATTTTTCAGCAGATTTAGACTACTACTGGAGTGCTTGATAGTTGATACTAGTAGCTCACTTATTATAATAAAAATAACACTATTGTATAATTTTATTATTCTGTATGACCTTCATAGACAAAACAGACAAGTATTGTTGAAGATACAAAGTTTTTATTGCCGTACTCACACAAATTGACAACTTCACAAATTAATATTTTATAAATTGAATAAAATATTCATTTGAGAAATTCGGCTACTTTAAAAAAAATACTGCACGGAAGTGTTAAAACGGTTGAACGAATTTATATTTAAAATTTACGTTTTTATTTCAATACATTTTTGTGAACTCAATTTTTTTACGTATGGAATATTTTATTTAAATGAAGGTATCAAGAATAACGTATATATTATTTTTAAATATTTTTCATTTACATCATAACCGCAGTTTTATATATTAAAAACTTCAAAGGTCATTTGAAAAAAATATGATATTATAGAGAGAAATCAATATTGAAAATTTACTAAATTTGCAATCACGCGTCCCATCCTAAACAATAGATGTATCCAGTTACAAGGAACGTCGGTCATTATCTATGATCACGAAAGTTCTGTGACTGTTGGAACTTTCTCATCTCAGTTACGTAGCGTAACGTAACAGTGATCATATCATGAGGGAGTCAAATTATTTAATTTTCGACATGCAAACCATTTGCCACACACTATTGACATACAAAAACATACCTATTTATTCAGCACTATTCGTACAACAACTAGTTTTAAGATATTGACAAATTAAAGAAATGTGAGCGTAAAACTCTTAAAGCGATGTCTGCTTTAAACAGACGCGGTGCTAATTAAACTCGAGGCTATTTATTTAAGCAAAAGGTTTTAAAATCTTCCACAGCTTTATTTATTTCAAAGACTGGCTAAGAAAACTTTATATAAAGCTTTATAAGAACAAAGCAAACATATAGAAAATAGAGCCAACAAGCTCTTACAAATGTTTGAGAAAATAATTTTATCGTGAGTTATTTTATTCTGATCTGTCTTACAATCATAATATTTTTGTATATTATTTATAAAACAAGTGTGTCCGTACCTCATTAGTATTAGCCGTTGAACTATCTTTTCCTTAGATGGTACAAAAAATTTATAAAAAGTTATTTTTATCCGTTTTTGTTACTCTTATTACATACATATATTATAATTCACTTATTACATGAGAATTTAAATAAAAAAGTTAAACAATTTCCCTGAATATTTGCAAATTAACAAAAATTAAAAGCGTATTTACCTCGTTTCCATACGAAAACACAAACATATTTAGGTTTAG